GATTATATCTTTTATCCCAGTGTTAAGTCAATGTAAATCGAAAACTCCTTTTCGACTCATGAGTTCACCTTGGCCAAGAATTTCATTATTAACTTAACTGGATAAAATGTAGATCATAATCTCTTACTATCTAAGAGTCACGAATCCTCTATTGATCATTCACAACTTTCATATGATTCTTGACTTACTCGAATGATGCTGTATTAGCGATTCTTGGCAGAACAACATCCAACATTACCAAAGTGTGACTGTCTTCATATAAGAACTATGATGACCTCAAGTCAAATGACCAATTCCACTACCGAACGTTAGAGATTAACCAGACACTCAGATAGTTATCCATGTGAAATCTCTCAGTGGGTCTCCAATATTTTGTTCTATAACAAAACTGTTGTAAAACAACCAAGATACTAGAATTGCTCTGATACCAATTGTTGTGAAACAAACCACCGGATTGAGATGTTGAAATTATATGACAAATAATAATGAAATATATGATCAAGCAAAATAATAATAGAGACAAGAATATGGTAGGGGAATTAAAAGATTNAATTGCTCTGATACCAATTGTTGTGGAACAAACAAAATACCAGAATAGCTCTGATACCAATTGTTGTAAAACAAACCACCGAATTGAGATGTTGAAGTTATATGACAAATAATAATGAAGTATTTGATCAAGCAAAAGAATAAAGAAGACAAGAATATGGCAGAAGAATTAAGAGATTTTATCGACTCAAGTATAATGGAGAAGATAGAAAATTACAATGGATCCTATAATTCTAGTAATCTATTTTCTCATACTATAAAATTGTATAGAAGAGCCTAGTATTTATAGGGAATAAGTAGGTGATGTCCAAACCCACCTAGTAGAGTTGTTGATGAAGTAGAATACCATAAAATTGTGTCCAAAACAAATTTCAACTCTCAATGGGCTTTCAAAATATAATTTCAACATGACATATGACTCCAATGATATTCCAAATTTGAATTCTTCATGATGTGAACTTCAATTAAAATTCTTCAATTACATCAACAAGGAATTCGAGTCACACCCAAATTCTAACAAAAACATCCGGTATTCATTCAAATGTCACCACATTTTAGCTTGTGAGATCAGTTACTTACTTCACAAGTAAGAAATGCCGCACGTGATGGTCTATCCGTAATAACGATATACGTATCTCGTTATTACATATGACCACGGACGATTTAAGATTCAGCCATATGTAATTTGTATCTCACAATCACAACTCCTTGTAATTAAGAAATTACTAATATTTGATCTACGGATTCTATTATTTAATTTATTAGAATATTAATTTAATTAAATAATAGATATTGACATAAATACACATTGATAATATATATTAAAAGTATTTATGTTCTTGGAACTAGTCTTGTAAAGATATGACACAACTCAAGTTGTAATGGAAGCTCGACAACAATGAAGAATTATAACTTAAGTACAATTTGAATTGAATGACCTCTATTCTAGTAACTTCTACCAAGGATAAACTGGTGATGATCAACTTGGACTAGCATTCGAACTTTCTTAAAACTATGAAACAGTTGAAGATTTTGGCAAATCTTTTCCGGCCAAGAATGTCTTGAAAAGAATAAAAGCTCTCCTAGGCTGAAACAATGGTACTTCATGTCCTGCTCCTCTAATTGTCGCAAATGTTAGCCCATTGTAAACCTCTGTCCACCCTCCTACCTGTATGTATATAAATCAAGTTAGTTTAGCATCAAGATTCTGTACTAAAGAATATGCATTTTTACTACCTGACTAGCAGAGTACCAAGGGTACCATGGAGTCTTGACTTTGAGATTTAGATGGCTCAAGGAAAATCGAGTTGCAGTAACTGGTACTACTGAATCTGTGTCGCCGCTGCATTAAGATCGAAGAATTTTAATGTTACCGAAGTACTTATAATGTTGACAGATGTGTTAGTTATAGTTCGTACCTGAAAACCCATATTCTGAGCCCCGCAGCAATCAGCTTCTTGTAGGTAGGCAGCATTGAAAACTCGGAGTCTTTCCAGTTCCTTATAAGTACGTCACTGTCATATAAAGTGAAAATGTATTACACATTTCATGGTGTTTTTCCTTTAAAATTTGTTTCCCATCGAATTAATTACCTGCAAGCAGTCCATTTATATGGTATCCCTGTCGTATTTGCGTGCATAGCCTTCTGTACGTCTGGTCGATTATAGTATTTCTCTGCATAATTCTCAGTACACGGGTCGTACCCAAAAAATCTTGGGCGTAATAGAGTGTTCTTAAGCCTCATAGAATGCTTAGTACTATCCTGCGTTGCATTGCAAGATGGTGTGTAGATGCTGTATTGATCAATGTTGCCAAATTCATGATCCATACCGTAATTTACAGCGTTATCGCATTTCTGGGACGAGTTTTCTGACTTGAAATCGCACGATTTGATAATCGAATTGTATGTTCTATCTGATATGATAGAATGGCTCCACCAATATGTAACTGTACCAATGCTATCATAGTAGTTGTCTGTTACTGCATTTCCTACCTGTGTGCATGTTTTGAATATATGATTTGATGTTTTCTTCAAGTAGTATCTATATTTACGAGGAAATATGGAAATTTTACGAATTTCTGAAAATAACTCACAATGAATCCTTTAAGATTGATGATTCGATGTGAAGATCTTTTGTTATATTCATATATTTGCTTTGCTAACTGTGGTACATAATGGCCTGTAGGGCAAAAAAAAAAAATGTTACTAGAAAAATTCCGAAATTTATTGCTTTTGGAGAGAAGAATATCCATTTGAATGTTTACCAGCATAACTCTCTCCCGAGAGGTAGAAATCTCTGTATTTGTACTGTGGAAATCTTGACATCCATTTTAAGAGGAAAACCAAGGCATCTTGAGCTGTAAGCATTAAAGGGCAAATGTGATTGGTGATAGCCAATTGATAACATACTCAAATAGTGGTGTCAAAATGAGTGCGGTTTGAATGGTCCTCAAGAAGGCCGGCCCAAACCTAACCCATCATGAGACGGTCTGGGTCCTAACCGGGATGGTGGATCAATATTAGGGCTAGGACTGACCTGTCGACCTGCCATAAATGCTGGTCAATCCGATCCTACGTGACCATGACACTATTTGACACCACTATAATCACCAGAACTATCAAACCTATATGTCATACTAAGAAAAGTTGCTTTATTTACCGGTCCTTTTGTCGCCCGAGTCCTTGAGATTAGAACTAGTATTTGTATAAGAGAATCCAACTCCGGCTGGCGATTCGAGAAAAAGAATATTTGCCACTGTAAAGCATGAAACTAACTATATGAAAAAATGAAAAATAAAAAATAAAATTATGTAATAATGTGTGTGTAATCAAATTTTGATTGTACCTTTATTCCATGAGTATTTGTTCAAATATAGAGATGAACCGGATTTGTTAATACGAAATGGACCTATTTCTTCAGATGCCCCATAAGCCACGGATGAGCATCCTGGTCCTGCATAAATACAATTTTTTTAAAATTTTTTTTCAAATATACCCCTAATTTATTGGAATTACAAAATTAAATTATAACATGCTCTCACACATTACTCTATCGTCACACAATCAATACTCAATGTTGAATTGTGAGGTGAACGTCGGAAACATGATTCAATTCAAAAATTTGTAATTAGTTGACGCCAAGAATCAACAAGCGACGACCAAGATCATTCATTTGGATGGTTTGCACTACTAGGACTGATTTTGCAATTATAGTAAAAGGTTGGGAATCAATTTGCAACTAGGAACAGATTTTCCTAAATTTAAATAATCTAAAGTAGGATGTACAGTAGTATCACAAGTGACTCGTCATATGTAAATGACGTTTTTTCCTCAAATGATGAGACGTCAAACTATTAGAGAAGAACTAATAATCTTGTTAAATATATCAGTCGGTTCAGTTTAAAACTATGTATCGACCATTTTTTCTATCTTTAGTAAGTATGAAAACTTTGATGAAAACAGGGGGCTAAGGTGGATGCACTTCAGCCCTTGATTTCAATTACAATAATTCAGATCAAGGGCTGAGGTGGATGACATCCACCTCAGCCCCTGTTTTTGGGCCTGTGTTTTGGCCCTGTTTCAGTAGCAGGGCTCTTGATGAAAAATGCTACTCAACTTTGATACACGCATGGGAAAAAATAAATGATGGTGGTCATTGGTCAATGAAAGAAGGATGAAAATTGGCGGTGTATTAATGGATGGGTGGTGAATCGTGTGATGAATTCAGACTGTGTAATAGCATTCTCAGTCACATCACCCAATGTGGGGTTTGCAAATTAACCCCAAAAAAAATTGCTAAAAAGGGAAAACGAAACGGGGTTGGAAGTTATTCTTAAAAATCGATAAAAGTTGATAGATCTCATGAAATGTACGATAAAAAAGTGGATAAATTTACTTTGAGTTTATGTTATTATGCCCATGTTTGAGTTACATTAAAAATATTATTTTTATTCTTCTACTCATTTTCAATCACACATTTTTCAATAAAATAATATTTTCGATTGCATCAATATTTTTTCCTTCTTGTTCAATCACACGTTCTCCATTAATCTATCATTTCAAAATTAACTTTACTTGATGTACAAAACTTATGGTTCACAGATCATTTACACACACACACAATAGGGGTGGGTGGAATTTTTNCACAATAGGGGTGGGTGGAATTTTTTGGCATTTTTTATTTTAGTGGGACCCACACATTGTGAGTATTGGTAAGAATTTTGTGAACAATTATTCTGTACATTTGACTTTACTCATTTCAAAATATATTCTTCTAAAATAATATGACTCAAACACATCCTAAGAGTCTGATATGGCTCAACTACGCAACATACAATACTGCTACGAATAATATTATTTTGTGTGTGTTCGAGTAGTCATCTTCAATTATTAATGCACAAGACAGCCCATATATATATATTTTAAAAAATTTATAAAAGAATTTAGCAAATAAATTGTTTTCATTTAAATTCTTGTTCAGTTTGGTTCAGACGTGTAGTTCACATCATCATCACTGTCATGTTCCCCTCTTAGTTCTTGAACACTCGTGCATTTATCAAGTCTCTCTCTTTTACCTTATATATACAAATTCTAGCAGTTCAAATAATTAATTTTATTTCCGATTTCATTCAAAAGTGTCAAATATAATTAAAAAAAATCGGGTCATTAGTATTACCAAGGAGGCATTTGATTATATACATAAAAAGTGATCACACACTTTAACACCATAAGGGTTTAGACGAGACGATGAACAATTTTCATTAATTTATAGTTTAGCTTCGAGCATGTCGGCTGTCGCATTGGTCAAAACGCTAGTGTCCTAGGTTGTAGGTGAAGATGAAGAGTTAAGTTATTTGTACCACCTCCTTTACCACTTGGTTTACAGATGAATGATGTGGCAGATTGATGATGGTTGGATTAAATGTGTGAAATGTGAAAGGTGATGTGAGATTTTGCCAAGTGCAAATTAGGTAAACCAAAGTGTAAAGAAAGATGTACATGTAGCAAGATTGTCTTTAAAACCTAGTGCCATATGCTCATCTAACTTTGGAGTCATCGGCCGAAAGCTTGTTACGTGAGTCATTTAGAAAGTTTAAGGGAAAGAATGCTTCAAATAAAGAAAAAATTATTCTTTAAAAAAAATCAAAAAAAGTTGGTGCATGAAAAAGAAGACGCAAAAATGCCTTGATTAAGTCTCAAACACTTCTTTTAGAAAATTTGACTTTTGATAAGAGATTGTTAGTCTAGTTAAGTCCTGGAGATTGAAGCAATCAAATTTAATGGAGAATCCTTGTTTATTGGAATGTTGAACTGTAATTAATGAAGTTTTGTCAAACTAGAGATGTGGGGATAGTAAAAAAATCAAACATTAGTTCACACACTGGAAAAGAGTGAAAAGAATAAGTTTGGGGGTGTGTGAATCTTACGAGTGATGAAAGAACATATTTGACAATTGAGGATTGAGAATTGAAACAACTTATTAATTCATAAGATAGGCTTAATTCATATTATATCTTGTGAGAAATGTGATATTTTATTATTCATTTTATCTTCATGAGTAATTTATGGGGCAAATGGATCCCGATTTATTTTATATATGTGAGGTGAAGATATTATATTCTATTACAGGTTGGTTTAGCCCATATTGTAGAGGAGATGCTGTCGAAATTTCGACAAATTATATGCAGACTGCAGTATCTACCTTTCGAGGCAATTCGTAAGTCCTCGCTTATTCAGGCTTGCACACATTTTCTGAGGCAGTTCGTAAGTCTTCAGTGGAGCAGTTTATATTCTCGAGACAATTCATAAGTCCTCACCTATTTGGAATCGAAGCATATTTTCGAGGCAGTTCGTAAGTTCCCGCTTATCCGACCTACTTATATTTTTTAGGCTGTAAGACCTCACCTACTGACAACTAGTGTTTTGAAGTCTGACCCGCACATGAATGTACAACTTAGACTTGGGGATCTACTATTACACCCAACGAAGATGATCCCACATTGGCCGACTTGACTATTTATACTTCAAAGTCCGACTCGCACATGAATGTACGACTCAGATTTGGGGGACTATTGTTACATCCATATATTACGTGGCATCGACTATTTAATTAAAGTGGACATATTTAATCAAGTCGGATATTTTTTAGCCTAAGCTTGGGTCCGGCCCATTAGGTCACATGCCTATTTACATTTCCTATATATATTTGATTCATTTCATTAGGGATGTTTTCTAACCCTATCTAAATCCCTTCTCTCGACCGGCAACATTTTCCTCCTAATGAAGTGTTGAGTGTCCAGGTAATGTCCACATGGAGGGGACGTTGTGGGGATTCTGTTGGCGCATGTTTTGTGGTCAACATTGACTATTGTCTCGTCCTATACATGTTGAACATGCTCTTATTTAGAGGGTGTTTGACACTCATTTTTTGAAGAATAAAATTTTTGGAATTGTGATTGATGTGAGAATGTGTGGTGAAAAAATTTTAGTTTTGTGTGTAATATTATTTTATTGCAAAAATGTATAATTGAAATGAAAAAGGAGAAAAAAGCACCAAACATGGGCTTAATAAAAGTGTTGCAAAATTCCAACAAAGAATAAAGAAAAACACGTGATGCATTTACCAGTTGATTATTGCCATGTCTTATATATACCAAAAATGCTCTTATTTACTAAAATTGGTCTCGAGTCCCAACAAAGAAGAAAAAACACAATATGTTTGTGAGTGTCAGGAACACGATACCATAGGATTTCAGCACATACTTGCTAATCAATATAATTTATATAAAAATTAATCTCAAATATAATAAATTCATATATGGCATCAAACTTGTAAATTGTACCGGTGCATCTACAAACAATAAAGGGAAATGCTACATGTACAACGTATGTGTTACAACATTGGGTTACAATCTCTCACAAGGGAAGTGAGACCCGCGATTAAAATAATAGTGGGCCCCACCTCCCTTGTAAGAGGTTGTAACCAAATATTGTACAATGAGCATTATTCAACAATAAAAAGGGACAATAAATTCATATCTTGATTCTCTCTCTTCATGCTTTAACCACAGGCAATTAGAATTCACGTTTAAAAATGACAGATTCTTAATCCAAGGAGCAAAAATTTCAATTTTGGTACATGGGTGTGTAAATTAATGGGAGGATGTAATCTGCAATCATAATCATGCACATTCTCATCAACTCCTAGTTTTCAGCAGGAAAAGAATAAGACAATCCTAAACAAAATTATTTGGCAAATTGCATGCTTACCAGATAGTAATAAAGAATAAAAAGTTAAAAATCTCGTTCCGTAGGCTAACAGGTCCACTCCAATATTTTGTAGCAAAAATGCAATGTTATCCCAAATATTGAAAAGAATGTACAGAAAATATATGTGGGATGAACCATATCCTATTTCTAAGATGTAAAATGCAAAAGGCAATTAGGAAAGTAATCAATGCACGTTCAGATATTTCCAATGGACATGAAAAACAGGCTGAGTTGATGAAGATAAAGTCTCGTGTTATAAAATCATATCGTACTCAGGACCAC